CCCGGGTTACCCGCTGCGAACTGTGCCGCTGGAGCAGGGGTAAACCCGGCCTCTGCCGAGGCGCAGGCTCTGCCCTCTCCCACCGGCCCAGCCTGGGATTTGGGGAGCACTCTGGGATTTGGGGAGCATCCTGGGTAGCCCATGTCGTACTGGGCTGAGCATGCCCCATGGCACACCGAGCGTGCGGGCTCAGATGTGGGGCACAGGGAGATATAATCGGGTTGTGAGCTGCAAGCAGGGAGCAGATTAATGCGGATTTGAACTCCCTGCGGAAGGAATTGGAGGGGACGTGTTCAGGCGTTTGCAATGTGTTTGTGTGTGGTATGAGCTTTCCTCCTCCGCATACGCACGTTGGATTCAATAGCACAAAGGTAAACCTTTGCCTTTGCTTTTCAGAGGAACTTCTCATCACTACGGAGGTGTCCTCACTGATACAGCTCCATGCAGTCACAAGACCCAGTGCAGCAGAGACAGAACATAAACCGCATTTAAATGCATATCTGAATGACAATAATAATGCAGGCAGACACGAGCAAATCCAGCTGAGATTGTGCCTTCTGGATGCACTGTGGTTTTCAGATCTGCAGTTTTTGGGGTCTTCTTGGTCAGCCCTATTATGCCATTTTCCTGTAGCCCTTCAGATGTCCTCTCCTCCTTGGTATGCCCTGTGCTAGGCACACTGTATTAAAGTAGTTGAATTTCCATGATGCAAACAGAAACAAACCTTGTAAGCCTTGTCAGAGGCAGAAGAAAGTCTCACTGGTGTTAGATGGCAGGGTTTAAAATGCAAAGCCTGAATCAGCAGAAGAGCTTGCAAGGCTTTTCTCCTACAGGTTGAAGGATCAAAAAGTCATGGACTTGTGGTTCTGAAACTCCTGCTCAAGGTCCAGCAGGGCCAGGCTGCCAGATCTAGTATGGCATGTTCTCTGCTGTGTATCAGTGAGTCAATGAGAGATAGTTTTATCTGTCACATATATTTAAGTATTTATCTGAGGAAAGAAAAAGGGAATAAAGATGAACCTCCAAACAATGGAGGAATTATTTCTATTAGATAAGTCACATTTTCTCAAACTTTGGGAATAATTCTGAGTCAACAACCCTTTGCCACAATACAGATTGGTTTAAAATTTATCTGACCCAGAGAGTGACCCTAGTAAAGCTGTAGGAAGTCCTTCTCTCCAGTTGCTCCCTGGAAGACCCCAGCAACAGTGGCAGGTGATTACAGAAGTTTTCTTCAGGGAGGTAGGGAAGAAATATTCCAACCTACTTGCACTTGCCAGGTACCTCAGGGTGGGCAGGAAGAAAACCAGAGAGAACTAGGATGCACCTGGCACTGGCCAAGCCGTTATTTTTCACTGTCATCAGAGGTAAATATTGACATTGCCCATAGAATTCAAGAGTTGGAACTTTCTTCTAGAGCTGCTGCATTTAATGACAATTATTTAGCATGATTTCTTGCATGACTTTTTACCCTGTACAATGTCTTCCCTACCTCCCTTAAACCTGTGATTTTGTGCCTCAGTGAATTTATTATTACTGTTTCTCCTTTATTTGTTTATCAAAATAGAAAGTATGCTACGTTATGCTTGGATTATCTGGTCTGATCACCAACAGTTTTTGAAAGTGCAACCAAGATAATTGATACTTGTTGAAGTCAAGGTGAATTCTGTGAGTGACTGAATATGAACCCATATATGTTTGCATTGACAGTGGTCATCTGATGCATTATTTTATCTATGTGTTGCTTAGTTTCCAAGTTATGTAGGAGGCCTAGAAAATGGAGCTGCTGTAACTGTGACTAGGCATGACTTTCCATTCTTTGCACTGTCATTGGCATTTTATGGAGAAAACACTTTCTATTTGTATCTGCATATTGTTGTGGGTTTTTCTTCTGCTTTCTTCTGCGTCAATTTGTGTTGAATTCTCTTACAGATTTTGTGTTAATAAAGCTAGGTTTATAATCAAAGGCATTGATGTTTCCTTGAATTTTCATGAAATTTTTATGCTCAAGTATTGATATTTATTTCCTTGTAAGCTTAAAAGTTTGGAAGAAAACAAAAGACATTAAATAAATAGAGGAAAAGCAGCCAGCAAAATAAGACAAGTACAGGAGGACATAGTGAAATAATTAACCCTAAGTCCATGAAACTGAGGTTCAACAAAGGCTTGCAGGCAGCCTGCCTAATAGCAGTTACATAATAGCAGTAATTTGTTGCTTTTCTGCAGAGCCCTTCTTACCCCCCTTCTCCCCCCTGATAAAATGTTTAGCACACCTTGTACCATGCTGCAGGGGCTCGAGCACATGAGCTTATTGTTTTGCTGTTTATACCTCTCCCTTTCCCAAATGCCTGGAATTTCTGGTTCCCCAGCAACCCCAGGGGTGTCCAAATCCTGCCCTTTGCACTATGCAATAATGTCTGTATGGCCTGGAGTGGGCTTAGGGCTGAAAAGTGATTGTACTTTAACTTGAAAAAAAGAAAAGAAAAAAGAAAAAAGAAAAACGAACCCAAAACAAACCCCAAAACCAAAGAACTCAAGGAATGAAACATGCAGACTGTAGTACCTGAATTTCATAAGAGTGGGTCACAGGGAGCATTTCAGCTATGGTGATTTATGAATTTGGAACCACTTATCAACTCTGTCTTGCTTCTATTTATCTTGTCTTCCCAGACATTATCCATGCAACGCAAGACTGTGATCCCTGATACCTGTAGAAATGAAAACTGAAATATTAAACAGACATGGTTTTCTGCATCCACTGTCTCTCACCAGTTTTACAAAATTATTGCCTTCACCTGCACAGGGCTTATTCATGTAAAACTGCAACAATGGTATTATAATGTGGTGATAGCATAATGCAGGAAGGGCTTGACTGCTGAATATTTTCTCCCTTTCTGGTAGGAAAGTATGTATATTAGAGGAGCATCAGCAGGGTTAGGAAAGGAAAAGCAGCATGTGAAAGTACTTAGCTGTCTTTTCCTCATAGTTAAACTAAGTGTTCCATTTGGCAAACAACAACCTTCATGACAATAGCCATTAACTATGCTGTCATTTCTTTGGCATCAAAACTTTTTGTACAGAAATATAGACACATCTCGTGAAAGCAGGGAAGTTGACTTTATTAACACTACACCTTAGGGAGCTTTCAGTGTCTTGTGGTTCTTCCTCTCCCAGATCATCTCAAATTTCAGTCCTGCCCTCCAAAAATTGTAAGATATCCATTTTGGAGAATAATGTTGCAAAAAAGTTCATAAGTAAATTGTTCCTTGTTAGATGTATAATGATCTCATGTGATTGGATGCTGCTGTTCAGAAACATCCTCTTCTTGAAATCAGATTTTCTAGAGACTGATTATGAGGGAGTTTAAGACTCCATGCTTTGGATAAGGCCTTACTGAAAAGCTGTCAAAGGGGCTCATGATGTGTGTAAGAGACACACTTTTGATGACATCCTTAGCCTCACTTTGCTGCAGGTTGATCTGATAAGGTCATTGATAGAGCAATCTGTAGATACCCAGCTGCGCCTGATGTTGTGAGACCATGACACAGTGATGCCTGGAACTTCTGCTAATGTCACCCTTCCAGGGCCATCCACCAGCCTGTGACAAATCTAGTATGCTTCCACTATCAAGGAGTTTCAGGGACTGTTTCTTGATTTGAGAGGACAAGAATTGGTATTAACAATGAAAGTCTTTTGAGAAAAAAATGAAGATTAACAAGCAGTGTCATATGTCTATAAAGTTTTCAGAAAACAGGAGCATGGGGGAAAATGAATAGCCAATTTGTAGAAGCACTGGAAGACACAGAAATATGAATAGTCTGCCTGGTCCTGGTTCCTTCTCTCTCTACTACCCTTTACCTTAGAAATAGTGGGAGAAAAAGAAGGTAAGATTCAGTTTTCTAACTCAGTTACATTCTCATAAGAGTATTTCGCTAATTCAGGTCTTACTATCCTGTAAGGATAAGTCTGCTAGCTCAGGCTGCTATCATTGCAGACATATAAAGGACTTGAAATCTTAATTGTGGGGTTGGAGAATAGATGTCATTAACAGTACAAGGGCTTGTGATGTAGACGAGTCTTTCATTGGAAGAGTTTAGATGTCCTCCAGAGGAGTCAAATACTGTGTGTGCACTACGGAAGATGTAAGGGACAGAAGAGGTAGAAACGGCACATTTAGTTTGAGCAGAGCTCTTCAGGAAGCAGTCAGGAAGATCAAAAGGCAAGCTAAGATGCTTGAAAAACAAGGCATGAACTGATATTGTCAGAAATCCATCAAATCACAATGGAAAGCAGAGCAAGATGAATTGGTGAATATTTGCAGAGAAAGAGAGAGAAAAGGCCTGGATAATTTCTGTGAATTAGCCACAGAAGTAGATTCAAGGTGAGAAAGGAAAGACAGGGATTCTTAAAGAGCAGAGATAACATTATAATGGAGAATTTGGGGAAGGGAAAATGTCAGTTCCAAAACTGGCCCTTCTGGATAGCAGAATTAAGATAAGGTACATCAGAAAGACTGACTCAAGAGTGGACCAAGACCGAGACTGAGATGCGTCAAAAGAAATGTGGATGTATTGGGGGAAAATAGTGTTTACTGAAATAACAATAACTTATAAAGAGAAGAAATTTGGACTAAAGAATAATATTCATTTAAAAAATACATACTAATAATACCGCATATAGTTCATGAATCCTGGAAACTAAAGTAGGAGTCAGTTAGGAGAAAAGGTAAATAATGTTACATTGTGTCTATACTATTACCTTGATCAGCCTGACTTTAATGTTAAGAACACTTAAACTAGAAAAACCTGTTCATCTCCTCTACAAATATTAGCATAAAATAGATGTCTCAGCTCCATACCACATCCACAAACCATTAAATACCTTGTAATCAAATAAAATATTTAGTTTGTTACAAAGCCAATCCCATGCAGTCAAGTTTATTTCGTGTTTTATTAATGCTAAAGGATCCCCTGTCATCTCTTATCTATCTTCTCAAGGGAAAATAATTCCTTTTTAATTAGGTCATTACAGTCATGTGCTGCTGCTATTATATAGACTCTTCCTGGTGTATAATGATGGATAAATACAGCATAGTGTTTAAGGAGGTTTGATGGTAGCATGGATATATTAATATGCAGACTGTAGAGCAGATAGAGACAATGGAATTTGATAATACCAATTCCTTTCCTGAGTTCTGTCCCAGTTCTGACCAAACCTAAGGCTGGTGGATAAATTAGGGTCATTTTTACCAATACTACCAAGCTAGAGGACACAAACTTATATGAAAAGCCTACACTGAAGCCATTGAATAAAATCTACTTTTCAAGTCTGTCAGCATTCAGTGCTTAGAATTTTAACAAAGATCAAGATATTATTTATCCCATATACATAATTCTGAGCTATCCACACTTATTATCTTATTCTTTTGCAAGGTAAAGTCAGACAAGAGAAGTGGGAGCTATTTAACAGTGATGTTGGTTGTTGCTTACCTGGAAAGGAGATAGGTGATATTTTACAGAGGAGATTCAGTTTGTTTTTAAATTAAAGGAGTTATTGGCAAAAACTGTATAGCTAATGCAGAAAAATGTCATCAAGCAGAAGGTCCAAAAAAAGTTGAATTAAGTCTCATTTGAATTTAGGTTTATTCTGATAGAACTAAATTTAAGAGTATTTTAAAACACCTTATTTATAAGAATATTTAAATTTTGAAATGTCACTGTATGTTTTTGCCCTTAAAATTTAGACCGAGTTTTCATTATGTAATAGTCATATTAAAAAAAAATCCATGAATTTTGAACTTGGCTCTATTGCAATTTTTTGCTCAGAACAATTACAGATTCTTCTAAAGACAGTTAATTATTGGTGTGTGTCTGAGGCTGCCTCTGGAATGTTACTGTAACTGGACAAATTATATGATTGAAAAAATAGTAATTTGCTTGTGAAGTTCCATGTAGTTGCTGTCCAAAGTGCCTTTCAGTTTTGTAGTAACTTCTTGGGTCTGGAATAGTCCTGCTACAGGTGAATCCTGTTTAACCTTTTCCCCAGAACCCATATTGTGGGAAAATGTCAGCCTGCTGTTGTACATCACTTGTGAAGAACAGTCATGAGGCAGAGAGGGGCAGTTAACAAGGTCAGGGAGTGTACAGCTGACTGTGCCAGCCTATGTGCAATAGACGCCCTGTATTGCACAACTCGCAGTGCTGTTCAGAGCTCTTCCGTTTGTAGCTGTTGTTTCTGCCCACACTACTGATCAGCCCTTTGCCTTGTGTGCACTCCAGTCCAAAATAAAGCTATTTCTGCCCAGAGGGGCTTTTGTATTATCCCAGTCTCCATTATTCTGTGCAGAAATACTTGATATGAATTGATGTTAACCACACTTAGCCAACTGTCTTTTGGGATAGAAATGGCTGTAATTTGGCGTGTAAGTTCCCTGTACCTTGTCACACATTGAGGCACAGCTCCCGCCCTAGAGGAATATGCCATTGGACTGACAGGCTTGTGCAGGATCTCACGAGTAGCCCCTAGCTGTGGGAAGAAGTGAGCTGGAACAAGCTCATGATTCCAGCTAGTCACACCAGCACATGCAGCAAGCACAGCCTGCCTCTGCTCACTGTGAGAAGCTGCTGTCATGTGTGAACTTCCTTTCCTCAGCTTCTCAGCAGATCTGGTACTTGTCTCATGACCAGTCAAATGAAACTTTAGGATGTGGCTTACCAGTTCCTGGCTCTTGCTCTTATCAACTACAGGTCTTCTTTTCATGTCCTTTGTGTCCCTGTCTAGAGCTGCTTAGTCCTTCACAAGTCAAACTGTGTTGTGAGTTCAGCCCATCATGGTGGAACTATTATCAATAAAATCTTGATGATAATGCAATGTGCTGCAAGGCTTCATCACAGATCAGCTTGTTACATCACTGTATAAATTAGCCCATATTGGTTGTGAGAAGTCATCTTCTGTTAAATTGCCAAGTTTTGTGCTAGTCTGGCAGAGCGCTTGGTACAAGAGCTTGGTACAGCTTTACTCTAGCAGAGAGCTTGATTCTGTGACCATATAGTCACTGTGAAAATTCATCAGAAATGATGGTTCTTTTCCTTTCTAGGAGATCACTTGTGTGTCTCCAATGAAAAGGTGCTTCTAAATTAAGCAAACTCATTAATGACTTAAAACTGCATTCTTTTGATGGATACAAAGTAAAAGTTACACATTTTACCAGAGCTTTCTGATAAACAGCCTTAGCAATTTGTTGAGAAGTGTTCAGTAAGTAAATGATTAGCATGAACAGTTCGTATTAATCCCTCTATATGAAAAAACCCTAACTTTTGCAATCCAAATTGAGTCTGAGGATTCTATTTTGGAGGGTACAGATCATCATGCCTCATGGCCTAAGCAAGACAAGCAGGATGTGCCTCAAGATGCATCCTGTTTTAAGGATCCTTATGAAAACAAAGTGCTTGAAAAGGCTTGATGACCTTTACTCTGCCTTGCTTCTCATCATGGAGATACTTCAGAATTAAGAACTGTTCTAGGCAGGAGAGACTTTCCAGGAATCTTCAAAGTCTGGGTTTCTGATTGCATCAGAGGTTTTAATAAACTCATTGAAGCAGTGTAAATGTCTTAAGTTTTACTTCTTCCTTTTCCTGTCATTCTATGATGATAAATGCTATAAAAAAATTTCTATTGTTTGCCTGAAAACTGCTTTTTGATTTCTTAA